AACATAAGTCGTTCCTCGTTATTACTTTGACTTCGCTGACCTCGTTCGTTCCTTCGCTGCCCTCCTTCATTTCCTCAATGCGCCTCTTGCCCTAAAAATCTCCTCTCTCGAGCCTCTTGATTTCGTGGCTCTGGCGGCTAGCCCTTGTTTTCGGTTGCCTTTCGGTAGTTTCGAGTGGTTGTTGTGGTGAGCTTCCACTCTTCTCTCCCTCTCCTCTCTTTCCTTAGATTCGGTTTGGTGATTCTGCACAGTCTGCCCTCTGAGTCGTGGTTCTTCGTCGGTTGCCTTTCGGTCGGAGGGGCAGTGGTGATGCTACTGTGGCATTCTTATTTTTCTCTGAGCTGTGTTAAATATTTTTTTATGACAAATACTTATGTTGATTAATTTTGTTCATGTTATTATACACAATGGTTAAAATCAAAAGATCGGTTCATCTGCAATGTGGGATAAGAATACAAAAAAAATATTTTGCGACGAAATAGGCCGACAAACTAATTCAATAAGGAGAGCTAACAAAATATTATAAACAATTTCAATGACAGTAAGACAGAGAGTACGACATGATGCAATTAAAAAACAAATGGGATCAATTTAAAAAGGACTAGAAAATCTAGAAAGAATTGAAGTGAGGATCCACGGACTTGGGTTGGGATCCGATAAAGCGAATAATTGATGCTTCGGAAGAGTGGTGGGTAGAGTGGTTGGAGATGATCATTTTTTTAACATCCACGGCTTTTGTCAATTTTCATTTTTTTTGTTTCAAATGCATCAATATGTGTTACTACATTGTAAGTGGTGTCAGCTGAGAAAAAATTTAAATACAGTTGCATCTATCCAGAGCTGGAAGAGAAGTTAGATCGTATGGTTGGTGATGTCGTGGCAACGGGCAATAATGCATGCACACCTAATGAGACAATGTCTTATTGCGTCGTTGAAAACCTAACTGCAGAACAAACAGGTGATTCTAATGAAGGCCCCAGCCAGAACCTTCATGAAGTTGAATTCACAAGCCGGTCAAAGCGTCCCCGGGTTGAGAGAAAAAAAAGAGGGAGTTGTTTTCATCTAAAATCAGATTTCACAGTTGGTGACTTCATGCACCGATGAATCGCATCACAAACAACTTTTGTCCAGCAGGTCATGCGTAAGCTGGAGGCAACTCCAAAAATTTATGAGGACAATTATCTATTCTCTAAGAAATTTGTTTGAAGGCCCGACCAAAAGAGAGTTTTTCATGACCATGACTCTTGGTCGTAGGGAGCATTATTTACTTCATTTTCAAGCGAACAGTGACACTTAAGAGACAATTGGTTTTCTTTATATACATGTGAGACATTTTATATTTTTTGTTGCATTGGACATTTTTATTTACTTCTGGGTTTTTACTTTTTCATTGGGACAAAGTTAAATTTGAATTGCAGTTTTATTTTTCATCGTTATGTTTTCTATTTCTCTAATTTTATTTTGAAGTTGGTTTTGTTCGTAACATTATATGATTGTAGCTAATTTGTTGGTACTTATATGTTAGCTACTTCGACACGAAATTATATGGATGTAAAGGCGCAGAAGGAGAGTTGCAGCTGCAGTATGTTTGATGCACAAGTATTATAAATCATAGAGTGCTCCCCTTACATTAGTGACAAATGGGCTAGGGAGTTGCTTGCGGGTCACCCAACGAGGTATAGCAATATGTTCTGCATAACATGGGCGGTATTCACCGATCTGTTGGAGGAAGTACACAAAAATCATGGACTTCATAGCTCCACCAGGACGATTTCACGAATGATGTTAGTAATAGCCCTTAACATATTATCACAGAATAAATCAATGTGATGAGCTACAAAGCGATTACAGCACTCTTTTGAAATAATTTGTAGATATTTCTCAATAGAGTGTGAAAGAATTTGTCAATTTTTTATCACAAGTCATAAATCCAACAAGTCCTACATTCAAACGAATCCCCACAAAGATTTCACACGATGCACAGTATATGTCATATATTCAGGTAATTTACTTTATTTATTACATTCATTTTTCAAATAAATATAGTAATTAAGTTACCTTTGTTTATCTTTCTAGAAATGTAAAGAAGCAATCGATGGAATACACGTGAATACACGTGTTCTAAGTAATGAGAAGATCGCATTTATCAACCGTTGCGAGTCACCGACACAAAATGTGATGATTCTATGTCTCAACAAATGCTTCACGCTTGTTATGGTCGGTTGGGAAGACAGTGCACATGATAGTCAATTTTCAAAAATGTAAGACGAAATAAGAAATACAACTTCCCACATCCACCCACAGGTTCGCTGGAGATTGAACCAGTCACCTATTTTTTTTTTACTTCAACACTAATCATTTTATTAATATCAAACAATATTATTTGATTGATGTTGAGTATTCGTTACAACGAGAGTATATGAAACTTTATCCTGGTACAAGATATCATATACCTAACTTTGAAAGAGTCAGCAATATCACACAAGACAAGAGAGAAATGTTCAACAAAATGCACTCCTCTTTATGCGGTGTCATTGAGAGGATATTTGAAGTTTGAAAGAAAAAATGGATTACACTTCACGAAATATCACCTTATTCGTTTCCCAAATAAGTGCATATTGTGATTTCCGCTATGAGACTCCACAATTATATTCGAGAACATCATTCCCGCAACAACATTGATTTTTGTAGAGCAAATGAGGATCATTCACATATCTCTGCTGAGGCGAATGAATATCGTATTGGACAATCTTTGTCACAGACTGAAAATAATGTGTTTGAGACCTGCACTCGAGATGTGGAAAGTGCAAGCGAGTTGGCAGAGTTGAGGGAATCAATTACGGATGTTATAGTTGAAGATTTATTGGATGAAACTCTAGTTTTTATTTTTGTTTATTGTAATGATTGTTGAAAACATTCACTGTTTATTGTATGTATATTTTATACAAGTTATGTATATTTATGCTTCTTATGCATTTGATAATTATTGTATCAATTTTTTATGCAAGTAATATCTTTTTTTTTCCTTTTACATGTATGTTTCTCCCACTTTGATGGTTGATGAGGCAGCCATGAATAATATATGTATCCTAAATAATGCATGTATTTTTTTGTCTCTTGTAGTGATAGATTCATTAATTTATATATTGAATTCTCTAAGACCTCATAGCTGTATAAAAGTTTAATTAATTACTTCCGTTATTAATTTTTACTAGTGTTATATCGAATGGTATGTGTTTTTAAGCTTTCAGGAAAGATGAGCTCCAAGATTTTCAATACATCCAGAGGATTGAACTACTATTGTGGACTACAATGTTCGCTGTTTGCTTCGCGGCAGCCAAATATCTACGGGAGATAGTTTTACAGGTGTCCAAAAAGAATCACAAAAAGACTGTGACTATTTTAGGTGGGAAGATGGGCAGGAAGATTTCACCACCGTGAGTAATCGGGCGTGAAGAGTTTCCCTAGAGGATGGCTTATCTTGTGACATACACTGTCTACATTTTAAAAATAACGTCATCATATTATTAATTATTATTTTAATAGTCATTTTCTTAGTTTTATTCATGTTATTCACTGATTAGTGAGGTTTCTCTCTTTATTTGGTAATGTTATGTACTGGATATTTGCTTTCAAGGAAGAAATGTATTGGAATGAACAGTTTTGTTGCGAACAGCATTACAATACAGGGGGCAGAAGTGTCATTTATCCAGAAACAGCTGCAGCACAGCTATTTTCAAACTGCAAAAAATTAACAAACAGCTAGTTTATCTATAACAGCTTCTTGCCACAGCTGTTGCAGCTGCCCCAAACAAACTCCGATGAATGATTGGTGGCAGTCAATACAATGAACTGGAATGCACAAAAGATTCCAACTTCTAATTTGTAGATTCCGTGGCCTTTTTATTTTGCTAATTCTTTGACGAACTCTAATTGCATTTCTAGTAGATTACTGCTTGTCTTTGTTCTAGTTGCTTTTAGATTTAATTGCATGATAAATTATGAGTTCCCATGCATCACAGAGAAAATCCATGTAGAAATATAAAGTTCAGTTTTGCTTGAATCTTTATTATGGATCCAATACCAAATCTACAGTTCCTTTTGCAACTTGCATTAGATTTCAACACACTTTCCATTAATTTGTATCAAATAGGTTGTCTATCAAACATTTTTAGAACAAATTGCAACATAACCCTGGAAAAAAATATGTGATTTTTTTATTAGAAAAATATGAATCTAAGAGCTCAAACTTCACAGTTCTCAATAAACATATTTTTCCAATCAAAAAAAAAAATGATACAAACACCAGGAAACATGTCTTTAAAGTACATATATGACATATCTGTCAGTACTACATTGGCATAATTACTTATGACCGTCCTTAACATATTAGTCTAAACGTCCCATCACATGAGTGCTAAATAGTAGTCTACTCCAGTCATTGGATGCATCTGACTGCAGTATCACTCTACGAATAGAAATTTCCCAATCAAATAGCAGCATTGATTCAGATCCACTAGTCGTGATAGCTCAAGCTCTTCATGATCTTCTGCTTGTAGAGGATGTTGGAGAAGAATTTAATTAATCTTATACTTACAATGAAAGTCACCTAGTAATTGAAGAAAAGTGTTTCAAATCATGTTTACTAAAAAGAGGTAGAAATAAAAAACGGGTTTTTTCTTCCTTCACCATGTTTTACGAGACTTCTAGCAAGACGTAATAATTTGCCTAACAGCTTCGGAGCATACAAGGAGTGAATGGTGCTAACAGTAGGATTTGGTGAATACTTTGTCTTCTAACTGCTCTATATAATTGCTTCATGTTGTACTAATTATAATGATGATATTAAAATTGCTTTTGTCAAAAAAAGGTGCTGCATTTAAATAAACTCCTGTGGCCGCCCTTGATAGATTAATTTAAACATGCCAGTACACAAGCTAAGTTCTCCACTGTGCTATCCAACAAACTACTACAAGAACATAACGATTAAGTGTACATACCTCATATGAGAAGTCAACGTGGCCAGGTGTATCAATAAGATTCAAGCAGTATGCTTCATTTTCCAATAAAAAACGCATTCGTGCTGCCTAAAAAATAAAATAAAAATAAAACGCATTTATACTGCCTTCATCAAATATAAACTTAAAATTATATTCAAAATCAATAAATTTTAAGTTTATATAAACTGAACAAAATGGAAAATAATGATATATAAGTTGGCCATAAGTTAATGAAAATAAAAGAAGGAATAAACACAACAAATCCACATTACAAATCCAAACTAATCAAGATCAAATCAACAAATTGATGTGGCCAAGCATAGTGAGCAGGCATCAGTTTTATTTCCATCAAAACTAATAATTCTGCTATGTTAGGAAAACTAGGATCATAATAATATGGCTGATAGCATAGAACCATTCTGATTTCCCGTGAAGTACCTGGTTGGGAAGTTTTCCATCAGATGGAAAAGGAGGCAAAGGCCCAAATACCTATATACAATGCTTTTCAAAAGCTTTGAAAACCAACTACAGAATATAATTTATATGACACTGAGTGCTTTAAACAAAAAAATTAACTAATTTTGAAGGTAGGTACAGAACACTAAAAAGGGTAATTGAAGGTATACTATGAAAGCAATACAACATTCTGATGATCTTATTTACACAAAAAGGAGAAAAATTTACCAATTAAGGCAGCAACATTATACTGTAGATAGCAGAATTACCTCACAATTGCTATTGATGTCAATTTAAACAATGTATAGACAAGTGGATTACACTGTACAAATGATACTAACATAATAAATTATACGAATTAAAAGAGTGATGAGACACATCATAGGAAATGATTTATGGCATGGCATGGTAATTTAACAGCCGCAGTTGTAATTAACATGGAAAAGGAATCTAATTATAAACATCAGCCAAATGAACACAGACATTCTGTCATTTAAAAAATATAAAGAAAGAGCTCAAATGCGAAAATAAATTAAGCATGCCTGCAATTTAATAGTGATTCCTCTTTCTCTCTCCAAATCCATGTTATCTAAAAATTGTTCTTTCATCTCCCTCTTCTGGACGGTACCAGTTAATTGTAACAATTTATCTGCTAAAGTTGACTTCCCATGATCTATATGAGCAATAATACAAAAATTTCTGATATTTGATATAGGAACCTACCAAATACAGAAGAATGTGGTGTTAGAGAAACAAGAAACAGAAGCCATTAAGCAAAAACATCAGACAAGTCAAAAATTAACATTGCACAATTCTAAAATGACATTTCATAAGACAAAAATAAAACATTCAAGTATGCATTTTAGAATCCACAATTTTGCCACTAACAAAAGCAAACAAAAATGATGCTATGTATCAAAATGAAAAAGAAGCTCTGAGCTGTTACACATATGTTTGCCTCTTGAATTTCTCATTTCATAAGTATTAATTTTATTGTTAACAAAAACAGTAAAAATGGGGCGTTCTGCCTGTGAATGGTTGTGCCAAGCTGCTAAAGAGGTTCAAAATAAAAATGAAAATCATAACTTGTCTCCATTTTCCTCCAAAGCCAATTCAAAATAGATTTTAAAACTTCTAGTAAAATGCATTTATGCCCAGCATAAGTATTCTCTCCGAGCCAATAATTTTGTTTATGATATGGCCAGAAGAAATACTCTTGATTAATTGCAGCTAGACTGTAAAAAAAGCTCGCGTTTCGCAAGCAGCTCGTGTTCTAATCGTTAAGTGGAACATGTTTGAATCATTCATTAAGTAAATAAACTAAACACGAACAATTTTTTTAAACTCAAATCATAAACGAGCCGAACATAATCACTTTTCGATAGTGTTTGGCCCGTTTTAGCTCAAAATAAGAAAATTCTATATATATACATATATATATATATA